TGGAAAATTAATGTGCATTTGAAAAACACTTGATAAACGACTGTAGACTGATACGCATGTAATTTGTATGTGCGCGCTGATTAACAATTTTACTATGTTTAATATTGAGTGGGAAAACAAGTTTTTGTTTTMCGAAATTAATTTAGATAAGTTGGTTCAAACCCATGAAAATATTGATTTTTAGTTTTTTGATACAGCCGTTTAGGTGAAAACTTCAACATAAATTCAATATTTAAATAAATATTTTTGGAATTTTAATTTCTTTTTGACACGTGAATTGTCTTTTTTTTTGTAATTGAGAAAAAATTAATAAGGAATTTCATTAATTTCACAATTTTGTAAAAGTTGTCGAATCACTTTCAAATTTTTTTTACGTTAATTTATACTAAAGTTTTGTATTTTTTTTTAGGTGTAGCAGCAAGCTCTCTCATACTGCAACACAAGCACACAGTTTGGTAGTGTGATGTACACTCAATGCTTCATGAGAAATCTTCGTTCACACGGACAGCCAATGGYGAAGCTCACATTTTGTCAAAGAGTCAATGTGKTCACAACATTGTATTGTTGGTAGAAAATCTGAACTGTGCGAAAAAACATAAACGAACGGCCGCCGATTGTCTCCGCTTCCCTTGCCGCTGTACAGCTTCGCAAACAAAGTATCGTATATATGTTTGTGTGAGAGCTTGTACACATATCGACGCAAATTTTTGCAAGCCGCGTAAAAATATTTTGCACATTCCTTGATTAATACAGTCAATCCCGGCTATGTGCAACAATCTAGGATACAGATTTTTGTGGTTTCTAAAAAAAAAAAAAATATAATATGGCACATAAGCGAGTGCGGATATTTAAGCGAGTGGTATTTAAAACAATAATTTCTATGTATTTCAACAAACAAACAGTGAGATGCTGCAAGATATGGGCAGTTAAGAGGGATGATTTTCATTCAAGTGGAGTACTACTTAACCAGGATTCACTGTACACATAAATCAGAGGAATATTGAATATTTTATTTGGCACATTTCTTGACTTGAAAATCGACAAATAAACTATGTTGTCAATTTTATTATAATATATTTTAATACTTATATTTGCGGGGTTGTCACTTTTTCCTTCTCATACATTTCAGAAATATATTCAATTTATGATTTTTAGCTTTTGCCATCGTCGCAAAAAGACGCTTGTAGGCAAAGGCAAAGAGTTTGCCTCTTGAAAGTACGCTTACGTTCATGAATGAAAATGTTGTTGTTGTGAGTTTTTCGACAAATTTCGGCTTGTGACGCTGCTGATGACACTTGAAACGATTCTTGTTGTTGTAGGACAATATTTGTAATTTTTGCGGGTGACTTATCTACAGGTGAAGGCATTTAAGTATGTATGTTGTGTATGGATTATTTTTGTGTGGGAATATCATACGCACATTTACACGTGTACGCATACAAGTATGTATGATGCTATTTCAAACGATTGTTATTTTTGTAAAGCAATGTTTGTAGTTTTTGGAGGTTGTATGTTACATGTGTACGCATATGCATAMAAGTATGTAGGTTTGTGTATGCGTCTGCAATGTCATATGCACATATTTATGTATACATATGAGCAGCGCGGACTTGCTATTACTGATAAGTGATAATATGATTTGAAATCGCGAAAGCGTACATAAGTTTTGATTGATAAAATATACGATTTATGTACATTTATCACTATTGTAATATATTTAATTTATTTAATATATTATTATAGTTTGTTATATACATATCTATCATTCATTCAATACTTCATTATGCACATAAGTATGAATATTAGAGTGGGAAAATGTTTTTCTTGACAAAACGGTTATCAAAATCGTAAACTACGATGAATTCTAAGAAAATTTGCCCAAGAAACTATGGGTCTAAAATCAAACTGGAGCTTCCGGTTTTTAGCGAGAAAATTTCGTATATTGTATTTTGTAAAAACATCCAATTTCTATTCCACTGTCGATTGTTTGCTTGTTTTGTAGCTATCGAAGCTAATATGCTCAAATTTGGTGTGTGCTGTTATATTTAAGCAGAAAAATCGACAGTACAGAAATTTTTTATAGGGGGCGTGGCACTGCCCACTTACGAGTTCATATGTATATCTCTGGAACCTCCCCACCGATTTCATTCAAATTTGGTATACATATTACACAATGCCTACTGGACTACTATCTGGAAAATGATCGAAATCGGATAATATGGTTATTACCCACCCCGCATATAAAGGTAACTATAGAACGAATACAATTTCGCGGAAGATTAAAGCTATTAAAGTTTGAAATTTTATTTATTATTATTTTAATTTGTATGGATGGATAGGTAACATATACACATACCGATCACAGCGGCCAACGACTATACCATGCTGAATACATCGCTTCTGGTCCGATCACCGAAGCTTTTTAAAACCCTATCTAAATACTATTATTTTATAAATATCTAATTTATTTTTAAGGGTCACAACGTTTTATTTCTTAAAATTACAAAGCCCATGAGCTTTTACATTTCTTGTGTATTGATGATTTAATGGAAAGTTTCATAAAAAACTTTTTTAACATTAATCTAAACATCAAAATTAGATCGTTATCTATACAGTTTCTAAAGCTCTTGGAATTTCCTTTCGAAAAAATCCAGACATAACCGCTTTTGTTAGTTTCTTAAAAGATTCAATAACATTTTTGAATGTTTTAAATTTGTGTAGAGCAATTTCTCAAAATTGCAAGTATATAGACATCTTAAGATAAATTTGATATGCATCACAAAAAGAACGGTCACTGTACGGTCACTGCTTGATGTTTTCGGCTCCAGTAGTTGTTACTATTTTCCATTTCATTTATTGAAAAAAAAAAAAACAAAATGTAAAGTTTCTCGCTAAAAACTGGAAGCTCCATTTTGATTTTAGACCCATGGTTTCTTGGGCAAATTTTCTTAGAATTCATCGTAGTTTACGATTTTGATAACCGCTTGGTGCATTTTTTTGCTCCATACAAATTGACCCACTCTAATACATATATCAAATGAAATAAATAATTAACAATGACTACGAATATTGCTTTGAAAAAGTAATTTAATTCAAATGTATTCCATTGCATCCGTATTCATAAATATGCACAAAACGAATTCTTTTGAGTACATATGTATGTTTGCATATAAACGTATAAAAATATAAGCAAAAGAGCGAACATACGTCTGTTAGAGCAATAACGACTGTCCCGTAAACAATTGACCCTCCGTTTTTAATTAATAACAAGAAAACCAAAGAATTTTTTCAAAGTCTTGTTTTATTTCTTATTAATGAGTACTATAGAGATTACAAATTATAAATAACATTTAACAAATTTTTATTTTCTGTAAAAATGTCTTACTTTTTTCTTAAGACCCTTCATTATGTTTTGTACAGTGTTTTCATCGATAGTACCGTACGACTTTCGATACTTATTTCTAAAATCTTGTAAATTTTTTGCAGTACCTTTACTCTTCCGGATATTCGATTTCATTAGAGCCCAATATCTCTCAATAGGTCGAAGCTCTGGGCTATTAGGTGGATTCGTTTTTCTTGGAACAATATTGACATTATTGCTTTCATACCACTCCATGGTAGCTGTAGAATAGTGAGAGGTTGCTAAATCAGGCCAGAACATTACAGTACCCTCATGTTCGCTAATATAAATTTTTGAATTGATGGTGCCCTGTGTTATAAAAAAACTGCTTCTCAAACCGCAAGTACATATCACTTGCCAAACCATATACTGCTTGGCAAATTTGGTAATTTTCTTTTCCTTAAATTTTCTCTGTACTTGCCCCTTCTTCATACAGGTATAATATTCATGCACCGGTAACTGTTTGAAATCTGCCTTAACGTAAGTTTCTTCGTCCATCACGCAACAGTAAAATTTTGTTAGGTATCCTTCATACAAATTTCGAGGTCGTTTTTGAGCAACCAATTGCTTTTCATCGGAACAATCTGGCACTCTTTGAACTCTATATGTCTTTAGCTTACTATCACTCTTTATCCTTTGTACAGTACTTTTAGAGGTACCTGCTTTAACAGCAACATCTCGTACTGAAGTTTTGGGATTCTGCTTAAAAACTTCCTTCACTCTTTTTGCCAAATTTCCTTCTGCACCTGCTTTTCTACCTGAACCTTTTTCGTATAGTAAGTACACCCTTTTTGTAATTCGAAACAACCCTTTTAACAGTACTTTCCGATGCTCCAGTTTTTTTTAGCAATAACTGAATATTTTAATTCTGGATTTTCCAGGTAAGTGGACAAAACCAAATCCCGCACTTTTTCTTGATTGCTAGACGTCTTAATAGTTTGAAGTGTTGACACCAAATGTTAGACATTTTGTTAATCGTCAGATTATAGAGAAAAAAAAAAAACAAGTCCCCATTGAGACTAATGCCATAAACAGTTACGTCACAATCTTAAGGAATAAAAGGGTCAATTTTTTACGGGACAGTCCATATATAGTGTTGAGCRTAATTTTTATTTCACCCTCAGCTCTGTTCAAACGAAAATGTTGAAGTTTCTCCCACCGAGCTGGCAGTGGTGAAACTGGCTCATCTCGACCGAGTTAGCCAAAACTATTTTTACGATCTCCGCGCCGTGAACCTTCTCTATGATAGACGTTCTCTGATAAAAGTTTACGGGAAATTCGCACAATAGTGGGTGTACAAAAATTTTATTGAAATCAATTAGAAAAAGTACGTCTGGATCGTATAACCGTCTATCATGAAAGAGACCGCTTCTTTATTCAATAACTCCTTAAATATACATTTAACGGATTGTAGCATCACGCCACATGAGACATATGCACATACTTACATGTATGTCTATAGATTACATATTTAAATTCACTAAGTTAGAGCGAAACTACTGAATACACGGCTAAAGGCTTGTGTACTCCAATCATATGGATCATTCAGCAATCAGCTGACTGGTATTGGTTTGTGTCCTTACTATTTATACGCAAGACTTCATTCTACACAACTTAAATATTGAACATTCAGTAATTCTTCCGTAGGACCTGTTAGGCGGCATATCTTCTGCACCGGTCGCTGACACCGCTGCTTAATAGGAAGGCCATTTGATGATGTCTGGTTGGTATTGTACTCTATGGTCACGGTACGCACCAGGCCATCACTGCCCTGGTGAACGTCAATCACCCGWCCCATACGCCAAATCGATGGTGGCAAATTTTCACCACGTATAAGAACTACATCTCTACGCTGAACATTGGGTTCCGATCTAGTCCATTTGTTCCGTGTCTGAAGAGTATTTAGATATTCAGATTGCCAGCGGTGCCAAAAATGCTCCAACATTTTCTGGAGGCGTTGCCAATATCGAAGACGATTTTCTGGAGCTTCAGGCAATGGAAGATCTGGACGACAATTGAGTGGTCGTCCGATCAGAAAGACACCCGGTGTTAGAGCTACCCCTTCTGGATCATCGTCGAGAGCTATCAGTGGTCTTGAATTTAGACACGCCTCGATGCGAACCAGGAGAGTAGGCAATTCAGTGTAACGCATCGGCTGACTGCTCATGACCCTCAACAGATGCTTTTTAGCTGAATGAACTGCTGCCTCTCATAGGCCACCGTGATGAGAGGCGGAAGGTGTTATGAACTTCCAACATGTACCTTCAGCTGCCAGATACTGTTAAGCATGTGATGCCATCCAAGCGTTTATATCTTCCTGCATTTGACGATGTGAATGAACGTCTAGCCACAATCCGCATCAAAGCGAGGTTCTTCAACATATCGCTGATTGGCGCCCACGCCCCGACGGAAAAGAAGGACGATGTGACCAAAGATGCCTTTTATGAGTGCTTGGAAAGCACTTATCTTTGCCCAGGGTGGGCAAAGAATGTATCTTTGGCACTACGGTCGGTAAATTCAGCCTCCACGAGGAAACATATCCAAATGGGTTGAGGCTTATCGACTTCGCCGGGGCCCGAAACATGGTTATCTGTAGTACTAGATTCCAGCATAAGAAGACAGAGCTAACTGGCTGTCTCCGGATCGAAAAACCACCAACCAGATCGATCATGTTGTGATAGACGGAAGACACGTCTCCAGTGTTTTAGATGTGCGTGCACTGCGAG